AACATTTAGTTATTTCAAATGGCAGGCTTTATCATAATTATCATTACCCCTCACAGAGGGGAGGATTATCAAAGAAGCAGAAAGTCGAGGGGTGAGGAACAGAAAAATGATTCAAAGATGTAAAAGAGACAGACTGACACAAGGGTAGAAAAAGGTGAGGTGAGTACTGTGGAAGTGGTCGGATATGACATATAGTGGGGCTATAGTAGTTTGAAGTCAGAAGTCAACTGCCTATTAATAGACTTTTTTGCCCTATGAGTATCCATTGCCCAGGGTGCACCACGTGGAGGTAAGTCTATCGCACACCCCAATTCCAACAATATAGGTCATCTAACAATACTTCTGTTATTAAGAGGATTCAATCATCTTTACCAGATCAGAAGGTAAAGGATTGAGGTGGGCAAATAGTACATTGAGCAATAGTATGGAGATAGGAGAGAAGTTGGAACAGTGGGGAGAGAGATATGAGGATCTAAACAGCATGTTTGTGCAAAGAGTTGTGCGAAGTAGGCTGAATGAGATACGCCGAGAAGAGTTGTCCATTTGTCGATGATTTTTCTGAATCACACTATGACAATTCTGAACTGTTGACCTTTGCATGGCGTGACTAGGATATGCCATGAAGTGAACAGAGAAACCCAACAGACTGATATGAGTGATAGGTGAATATGGCATACATTGATCATTCCGTGAGGTTCCAAGAAGTCAACGAAAGCCAGAACGTTCGTGAGTGAGTTACGTGGAGACCACACTCACTCCAGTTGACTGCTTTTGCTATTTATAACTACCTTAGTTATTTTCTCTAGATTATAATTGAAGGACTGGGTCGTATGATGCTTGTTCGGCAGAGTATACCATTGCCAGAAGAGAAGAAGACTCTCAGCCACGTCGTGGCTCGAACAGCTAGCGGTGGAGTGTTGGCCGGTCTGGGTGGATCAGCTGGAATGGGTCACGGCTCACGACGTCGCAAAGTTCGTGTCCCCGAATTACAATCAAGCAAATTCCTCGATGACTATGACGATGATCTGGACATGGGGAATTTGGAGGGACATTTCAGCAGTTATAATAATTCTACCAACAATACTGAATCACCAAGAAGACAGACATTTGGCAAGTATCAATTCAATTTATGCCAATTTTGTGCCTTTGTATTGTTTAGTAACTTAGACCAAAATAGCGCGTTGCCTCCTCAAATCCATGTGTCCCAGTTCCTGTCCTCTTTGTACTTAAATAAGAACTTTAAAAGAACCCATTTATTCCCTCGCAATCAACTTTGTTAAAATATTTCGCCATGACCTTGACAGAAATTTACCTATTCGCTACGACACTTCTTCCACTTTATGCCCAAACCCCATTTTAGGGTTTAAATATAGAATACAGAGAGTTTATGTTTTTAATGCCGATTAGCCTCCAAAAGGCCACCTACTAAAACATAAAGTTACGAATATTTTGAGTTTCTTTTCTGACTGCTATACACCCCCAAGAAACTGAAATCAACGTCCTCGAGAGTAGTAGGTGCTAACTCAAATTCTCCAAACAATTCAATGTTAAATGGGCAAAAAATGAAAGTGGTGGGTCAGGAGACTTGTTTCATAAAATGAATATAACCAAAACTCGCTCCATTTTCCTCTTTTAGGTCCAATTCCAAATTGTGTAGATGGAGTCGGCGACTGGAAGAACCACATGCCCACAGCAGGAAATAGGGCAGGTTATGGACTACAGGGTCATTCAACATGTCCAGGTTGCATGGGATTGGCTGACTCAGTGGGCGACATTTCTCGTTACAGTGGGCCCCAAGATTGGCATGGCGGCAACCAGTCTCAAGAATCAACTCGAGACGCGAACTCAGCTAATCCGAATTTGGATTCAGAGGACTCTCCAATTATGCTGAGTTCAAGTACTAGTCTTGAACGCGATGTGCGCGAGCTGAAGCGTTATGTACGCATGTTTGTCAATCGTCAGAAGGAAGGGGCTCGTAAAAATACAATTGCCATGGAATGGCGCACAATGGCATTAGTTTTAGACCGTCTATTCTTCTTCGTCTACATAGCAACAATTGGAATTACTGTAATCACCGTTTTTACTGTAAAAAAACGCACAGCATAAAAGGCGGCTTTAGCCGAGTCAAATAAATGGAAAAAGCACGTTCTATCGCTCATCCCGCTCACTTTCTTCCAATCATTTCTCCCCTCTTTTCGCTAGCCAATTATCACTCGCGAGTTAAATATCGATATCCAATAAAACTTATGCCTCACTTTGATATTTTATGTGCTTTGACCAATGACTATCAAAAATGCGGAAGCACCCAAGTTTATAAGAAATTTATTTTAATTAATGTCTGATAACTGGAGCGGCTGGTATTTGCGCAGTGGATGAATCATACTTTATAATCTAGTTTTCACAATATAACTGAGATAGAGCTAAGTTTATGCATAATTTTCGTGTTAGCTTTTGATGGTGAAATTAACATTCCAGTTTAAAATATGCCACTCAATAAAACCCAACATGAAATTCCATTCCATGACCTATGACAATGCAAAATCACGTTTTAATTGCATTTGCATGTGAGCACTCCAAATTACAAAATCATCCCATAAAGAGTGAAGGAATAGTTTACAATGAAGTCAGTATTAATAGTCCTGTTTCAAACAAGTTCTGAGTTGTTCGTTTTTATAGATAGGATATGTTCCATTCTGAAATATCCAAATGTTCTAGACTGCATATTAATTATTTGATCCACGGATTTCTGGGTGCTTTCATGTTTGCAATGTTACCAGTTTTTTACCAGTAGTTCTAATAAAATGGTTAAGTAAATAGCTTCTTTCAGTTGCTGCCTTTAAAAATGACATTTAAAATAAAGCGGAGCTCGATGGAATTCACTCATGGAGAAATCAGAGTTAATAAATTATAAGAGATACCAGCTCACCTACTGTTCCTTTGGAGAATACACCCTCATTTACGAAAATCATTAGCAATTATTTAGGATATGTAACCACGATAGAATCAATTTTGAATTTTTCGAGTTTATTTTACCCCCAAATCGGCAATTACTATGACTAACGATTCATGCATCTGACTTCATTTCTAAAATTTCGGTTAATCCAACCTTATCTCTTCTCAAATCGATCAAAGTCTGGCCATTTATGCCGAAGATACAATAAACCTTAACCAGAACGCTTTATTTAATTTCAGACCTATGACTTTAATGAACGAAAAGTGACTAACGCTTTTTTGAACAGCCATAAAACACCAATTCTGCTTTAATCATGGCATTTGAAAATAACCCGGAATTATATTTAGCGTTTTTTACCCTACCAAGTCGAATCTAAATATGAGTTTGACGGAAAAAATGGATGTTTATTAATATTTCACAAAAAAGGAATGCGAAATATAACGGCAACGTGTCCAGTTCAAATTCCTTCCACAGCATTTAATTAAGATAATTTAAGCCCTTCCGATTGCTAACCGGGCTAGATGTCGACTCCTTAAGGGAACGACAATCGGAAACTAATAATTTCCGAGTTCATTTCGAATTAAACGGAAAAAACCTTTAGTTACATATCAAACCAATTACCAATGGAAAGATGATCAAAGATCAGCACCTCAAACAACATTTTCATTATAAATTTTGCAAAGTTTCGTGTTTTAATTATTGTAAACGCTGCCAATAAAACTTGTTGACTGATTAAGTGGACAAGAAAGCATAAACCCACACACTAAATATTGGATAAATTTCAGCCCCCGAACATGCGAGTATTCATACGACGCGTTTCTGGTGCGTCCGTATATGCGAACACAACTTGATTTTAAAAATTGCCAGACATTCTGTTTGGCTAAAACATTCGTAATGTGCTAAAACGAATGATGTCAAAGAGATAGATAGTTGGATAGACAGACAACCAGCCAGCTAGGCGTGTGTGCGCCAAACAGAGACGTACGGACAGGCCTTCATCACGCGTGAATTCACACAAACTTTGTGGTGGTACAGACAGACGCGCGAAAGGCAGGCGTGTAGCCTATTGGTTGTTGGTTAACTGCGCGCGTCCTCAATACGATTTTGTTCAAGGCATAGTAAAGGTTCAACTATCTAGTGTCCTGGGCTGGTTCTATTTATTGTGCTATCATTATTTGGTATTAGTACCTATTTCTGAAATGCATAAAATTTCAGAGGCATAGTTAAGCCGTGAGCCTGTAAATGGATGAGCAAATTAAAGAAAGGGTCTTAGTTTTAAATCACGGTTAAAATAAGCTTCAATTTCCTGGCGTTTTAATGTTAAATCAATGCCGGTGTAATGATGGCGATTTAAGCCTACCTACTGGGATGAATTCTTTAAGCTTTCTTGGGTTCTCTATGGTGCTATTGATACCAAAAGCTTTGAAAAAGCGAAAAACTTTGACGGGATAGGAGAGGTAATTAAGTCAGGGCGACAGTGCTCAAACTTTCTTTGAATCTCGGAGATACTAAGCCGCCCGTATTCTCATAAAGGCTGATTCCTGTACTATGCTTTAAAGAACAAAGTTCATGATTTAATTGCCTAATTTAGGGGTGAGACTACTTTAATCGTTGGGGCATTCATAAAAGATACGTTTTTTCACATTGTATACCTATCATTGCCTCTCTTATCGATTTGCGACAGGCAAGCAACACGAAGATTAACCATTTGCCGCATATACACTTTGTGGATGTCATATCGTCAACTGGTCGGCTCGACAACTGGATGATTCACCACCAAAGGCCATCGACGATTACCACTGTCGTGAAACAGATGCTACTGTGTTTATGTATCCAATACGTCAGAGCAAATATATAATTGTGAAATATACTCCTATTCGATATGTATATAGTAAGCTAGAACCGAGGAACTGTTTCAACCAAAGACAGGAGTTAGTTGATCACAATGAATACCGACCGGCGTTTAAGAAGAAAGAAGTCTTGACTGATTCGAGTTATTTGATTATATCATTTATCCCAAGTCCGAAAGTGAGATCTCACCGCTCTAACATACAAAACCGCATATGAAATTTTACTCCAACAATAATAGGACTGACTAGAGTTTAAGTTCTTCTGTCTTCTTCCTAATAGATATGAGGAACTGTAGTGATAGCATACGTGTCAATAGTAAAGCCAACAATCACACCACTGATCGTTTAAGCCTACATTACAAGTTTAGTTATGGCCAATACTGGAGAAAGCCACACAAATGGCTAACAATGACAAGAGGCAGCATAGGCGCGAATCGGTATTTAAAATAGGTGTGTGTATTTATAATTAATATGATGTCAGAGTATGCGCGTAAACAGTGAGAATAAAATATACACGAGAAGTAGTAGAAGACACGGCAAAAGAGTAGCCCAAGATTAAATACTATTACCGAGAAAATTAGAGTATTATATATGGTGGAGATATTAAAATAACATGTGGTCACGGACACAAATAAGAGGGCCGAGTGGGGGGGGGAGTGAGAGGAGGGGGAAGGGTGGGGGTTGGATTAGAAGAGAAAACGGCAAAATAAAACTAGCCACACACGCACAAAATACACATAGTTGCATCGTTAGGATCAAATGACAAATTCGCGTATAAAATTCATCGATGGCGTCTCAGTAGATAAAGTCGCACACAGGAAACTAACAATAAGAGTCTGTACACAATCAATGTTAAGCGTGTGCCTTGAATTAGGAGGTGCAGTAGAAGAGAATGTAAGATACAGGTTATAAAACAGGTCGGATGGGGAATGAAGCTGATCACTGTACACAGAGAGAGGGGGGGGATTGAGGTGATGGATATGGCCTGTACACAGAGGTGTATGACGCTTACACGAGCTACCTAAAGTTCCGAGAATTTTCCTCTGCCCCAGAGGCATCTGTTGCCATGATGGAGAGGCATTTCATGAGAACATTCGACGCTTCGCCTCCAGATAAGGCTAGGTCGACAAGTAACGGCTCAAAGGGTACCAATCGCCTGCAAGAAGAGCAAAAAAAACAAGATGAACACTACTCACACTGCTAAGCGACAACTTGAGCCGTAAGGGAACGTACTTTCTAGCCAGAGATGAATAAGTGACAAGGTTTTGCAGAATCAGAGCAGTTGTAAGACGAATGTGTTTAGTAACAGGTCCCTCCTTGGATTTTTCTGCAATGCAAGGAAGAAAATCGGCCTGAAGGGTCTGGCGAAACTCACGTTCGACCACTGCTACCCGAGAAGTGTTAACAGAGGATTTGGTGGTGGTGGTGGTCAGGGATGTTAAAGACGCCTCCCCATCAGAGGTTACTTGAGACAGGTTGCAATGGTTCTCACGAAGATGCTCCAATAAAGACAAAGAACCTCGTCGAATGGTTGATTGCTTGCAGCCTGACCAGGGACATGTCTACAAAATAGGAGAGATTAATAATTTAATTTAGAGACCAATAGTTGTGGAATTTCCTAATTTTATTATAAAAATAGCAAATATGGGTCTAGTTGCAATTATGAAAAAAGCATTCGGGACACTCGAATTATTATTTCAAATGGCAGACTTTATGATATTTATCATCAGTCTCTTAGTTGATTTCAGCTTCCCCCAAGGGTGGGGGGTACATTTATAACAGTTAATTAATAGCAGTTCATTAGCCGTCTTCTTGCTTCCCCGTATCTCTGGCTTTCCGTCGTTGTCTTTAGGGATAGACACCGAACCAGGTGGGTCTTCTCCATTTCCTCCTGAAGGTTACATAGGGGGCATGTTGGTCAAGTGTATACTCCTAATCTGTGAAGCTGTTTTGCCAGGCAATCGTGACTGGTACGTAGTCTAAACTAAGCAACGGCTTCGATTCTTGGCCAGTCGGCTATGTCGGAGAGTGTCACTGTCCACGGTTTCTCCTTTGTTTGAGCTTTAAGTTCATTGCACCTTGAGATCTTGAATTCTGTCCTGATTAAGGTCTTCATTATGTGGGGAAAGACATCGACCGATCTATGCCTTACGTGACGCTCAAATTCGACCAGAGTAAAGGGACGAAGAACACCCTAAGTTGATCGGTATTATGTATTGCCTTTTTTAGGTGAAAGATAGTATAAATTGCAATATTTGTAAGGGTGAGATGCATAGCTATAATTATGGGGATGGAAGATGGAAAAGAGTTGGGAGTTTCGGTCAGTAGGAAACGAGAGATTGAATTCCTCCACTCAACCGGTAAAGCCTGTGTGCAACAGTTTTTATACGACCTTTGGAAGAGGACCCCACGGGATTCCTAACGTCAAAAAAAAAACCGAATGGGCTTTCTGATAAGTGGGGCTTAAAGTTGGCCGTTGATATGGAATGGCCTGTTCAACGCGATGGCTTTGCGTCTTGCTGTTGATTCCCCATTCGATTCTTCAATCCATCACCCCTATTTACCTAAGAGGAGAGCTAAAATCAATGCTCTGAGTTTGAATTTTCTAAGTACACTTGGCAACGCTTTATTCAATTGCACAAACACTGAATACATTGAGATCAATATCTGTTGAGGTTGTATTTCACATTAAGCTTATTTAATTGGTAAGTAGTAGGAAAAGCAGTTCCTTTCTAAGGGTATACACAGAAAGTTCTCAGAATAGAAAAGATGTGCTTCCAATGTAATTGATCAAATAAAGGAACCAATCAATCAACCAGGTAAACATTACACTATCGAAAGAAAGTTCAAAATCTGTGCGAAGAGAATGAAGGACGATTAATTTAGTTTCATTGAATGAAAGCGATTTTTCACCCTCATTAAGAGGGCAAAGACATGGCAAGGAAAACTCTTATCTATTCATCCCTCTTATTCAACAGGGATTGTCAACTGACTGGTCTCGTACTCGCGAACGCTAGGATTGAGAAATTCTATGCGACTAATTAAACCATGATCAAATGCCATTTGATACACAAGACCACTGAAAAAACGAGTGAAAACAGTGATGCTGAATCGGAAAGTATCAAGTTTTCATGAAAGCTCACTAAGCCGGTATAGTAGACCAGTATCTATAGTATTTTACTATTTCAAACCGATTAGCTAGATAAACACCCTTAGGCAGGCAAAGGAATATTGAAATCCGCTTATATATTCAATTAATTCTTTGGGAATCTTAACAAATTACTCGAGTGAGATAAACTGTAGAAGTTAACACTCTCCTAGAAACAATGAAGAGAGTATTCAACAACTTACAAGATCCTGTTGGGCTTTCAACAATCCAAAATGACTCGAGTAGATATGTGCAAAGAGCCGATCACCTGAGGGAAAAGACCTCCTACAATCCCCTCCCCACATGCAAACAAACGCCGCGGAAGTTGTCTGCCGAATCGATTGTTGGGTCGTAGTGGCCTGTTGTTGAGGAATTGTAGAAATCAGCTGGGGCTGTTGCTGCTGGGGCATGATGGTCGCAGCAGGCGTCGGCGCAATCGATAATTGAGCATTGGGAGCGAGGGAGTAGAGAAAAACTTGTTGCGGAGCACCAGTAGGAGTACAACCACTTGCTGTGGATGTCGAAGCCATGAAGGTTCCAAGACAAGTTAGTGTCTGCGGAGCAGCAATTTCAGAGTTATTGCTAATAACTGTTCCTGGAGCAGCAGCTGACTGCATGACAAGAGATGGCCGACAAGGAGACGTGATTCTATTAGGATCCTGAGTCGGATTTTGGGAAGTGGGGAGGAGAGTGCGGAATTGTAAAACCCCTTGAGAGGTATCGATTAGAGTGGGAGCAGACCCGGTGGGCTGGGCCGTGTTGGTGGTGAAGCCATTCAGCATTCTTTTCCCATCCATAATGGGAAATGCGATAGCGGAGGCTGTGATTACTGGTTGTTGAATTTGAATGGATCCACTGCAAAGGAGAGAAACATGTGAGAACGAGCTAAAGAAAGGCAAAAACGGGAGCTTTTTGAGACTCGGTCTGGAGGTTGAGCCATATGAGATTGGTATACGCCAATAAAGTGTAATATAAACAGACATGCAAACACGTGTGACTAGAAAACAGAAGTATTTACGCCAAAATGATAGGTGTAATTTACTTTGCATAAAATGTGGGAGAAATTTCACTAAAAAGTGATATTTAAGAGGTTTGAGGGAACATGACATAGAATTCAAGTGCAGTGAGTGCGTCGCAGTCGACCAAACCTTCTTGGATAGTGATACAATTTGACGCAAGAAGTGACTCCGAAGTGATTCGATTTGATTTCTGTTACCTCCACTTCAATGACTTCAAGCAAACAAACCAACTTGTGGGAATAATTTCTATATCTATTCTTTCGAATAGTCGTTGGCCCATTCTCCAAAGGTACAGTTGAGATAAAAGAAATTTAGGTAGAAGCTGCCAGTATCAATATTTGATGGAAATTTTAATAAACTAGGCAGCAAAGCGAGTATTTTGGCCTTCAGTGAAGGCGTTACCATGGTATAAAGTGAACAGAAAATGTGACAGAACATAAAATAAAAAGGTACTTAAACAATAGGAAAATCTTTCGGATTTAGGAAAATAGAAAAAAACAAAATTAAGCTTCCATTTTCAAATCGATTCCAAGAACTTGCATAAATCAAGTACAAGCGAATGAGCTTTAAATCCGCTTTGTTGGAATTTTGTTCAAGGCAGTGAAAATAGCCAATTCTTAATAGATATTTGAAAACAATATTAACGTATTTTTTTGGATTTTATGATCACTTGGACTAATGAAGAAAGGGTTACTTATATATGGACAACAGAATTGAAAATACATTGACATAATCAGAATAAGAGAACCAGGTTGTTATTTTTAAATAGTAACGCACTTTGTGGCAAGTTCAATAGGTCCATTACTAGACACGGGAATCAAATTATCAACGATTGTAGGCGGATTCGTGGCAGTGGCTAGAAGTTTGATAGGTTGCGGTGTAGGCGTAACGGAAGTGGTTCCATTGACAAGACTTGCGACACCGCCGGTAGGATTGATGGGGGTGTTTCCCAATACCCCTCCTCCTCCTCCTCCACTTTCACCATCAGTCTTGATTGCTTCCTCAAACAGACGTACTTGTTTCGGTCCCGGTGGTACCACAGCTTCCGATGAGGCGATTGTGGAGGGCGTCTCTATTAAATTGACGGCACTTCGTTTGCGGTTAGCCTGTAAAGAACGACAGGTTGAAGTGACACACATATATATATGGAATCTATGGCACTTCCACAATTAATCACTCAGTTATCCCCAAATTCACATTGCTAACCAACCCTCCTCTCTCAGATTCTCAAGAAGTGCAATTGGCAAAAAGAGGGGTAAGAGATTGGAACTTTCCCGATAGAAAAGTCCAAAGATGAGTGCTGCAAAACACCCTTCGTTGATAGCCGGGGGGAAGGTACATAGTACACTGACACTGAAATTGACGAAATAGTTCCTTCCCCAATCATTATAAAAACTAATTCCTTATTCATAGCCGTATTAAAAATAGACAAATTTGTAAAGTGCACACCTTTATTCAGGCCCAAAAGCCGGTCCCAAACAATAGCCCATTGGTACCTAGGGCAGATTTGAAAATAAACATATATCTGGAATTATGGCTAGACAGAGGTATTGAAATCGTTTTTTTCATTTACGTCCATTGTTAAGCAAAAAGAATCAGTTTAAGATATTAGTCATTCTCTTCTCTATGCACCTTCTTGAGCCTTAAAGGACTCGGTAAGAGCAAGCATTTCGGATTGAGATATCCAGAAAAAAGGATCAAACGGATTCTGGAAATGGTTGGAGTCAAGCTAACCCTACAATGCGCTATGCCAGGGTTGTGAGTGCGCACGTATAAGCGCGTGCCAATGAGCCAGCTACCTTTCCAGCGTATGTGACGTCACACACAAATAGCCGTAGCAGTAGCATTATTAGCATCATCACACAACAATAAATACACAAAGCGCCAACCGGCGTTGACTTCAAGGTCATACAACATTCACGTGACCTCGAAACACGCACATGTGCGGCCACACAGCAACAAACCAACACACACGTGTCGCAACGCGCGCGTCACAACGCTTAACCACACACCACACCCTCGAAACCCTTTCTCGTGCTGACCACGTGGAGGTGTCACACAAACGTAGACTTACTTTTGGGGTTGTTGCAGCAGCAGTCGAAGGAGGTACCGGTGTTCCAATGGGAGATTTTAGTCCCTTACCATCGGAGTTTTGATTGGCTAGACAAGTTCCTAACATGTGTTGTACACCTGAAGAGAAAAACAAAGATTTCAAACATGAAATGAACCAAAGGGGATATGGAAATGTGACCGTCTAAGAGACACATACCAAGGGCTTGATCAACGGGTTCCGGAGCGTCGACGTGTTTGAGTTTGTTGTAGTGGATCTCCACGTTTCCATTGGGAACAAGAACCTTCACCTGGTCGACAGATGGGAAGACGGTTCTAGAGAGAGAAGGAAAAATTGAAATCTAAGCATGACACAGAGCAAATACTTAAGTTCATCTGCACAGATTTTTGGCCGCGATGTGGATTGTAACGCATTATAAATATAGCTCGTTTGAGTAGATAAGTGGGATATACTTGTTATGAGACCTACTCAGGTCAATCCACTTCAATAACATGAACTTTCCAAATAATCAGATAGACCACATACCAAACTTATTATTACACTTATAGCCTTTCCTACTCATTAACAATATTCGTGAAGTGCCGTAAGTAACGACACTTATAGGAGCTTTCCAGTTGGTAGAAAATGCGGAATACACTCCGAAGAGATACTCAAGAAAATAATCTACTATTTTGATAGGAAATACTGGAGAAATCGACATTAAAATAGTTTCTCATTAAAAAAATCAGAGGAGTAGCACATTAGAATTCCCCCTTTCAGAATTTCTCAACTGGGGCACAACATGAAAACATGAACCTCAGATAAGAGCAACCTTCTCAAAAATTTAGCAATCAGACCCACCAGGTCATTTGCACGAAACACCTACAACATTCTGAGTTGTGATAAAAGCCCCCTAAAATGCACGTCAAACCCTGCAGACCCCCTCCCTCCCAAAATATTTGTCCTTAAGGTGATGACTTTGTTTAATCCCCAAAGTGATCTCAATTTATATGCAACAACATAGCTGTGACCTTGACTCCGCATCATCCTAAAGACGGATTAAACACCCCGCCCCATCCCCCCAATACTCCGTTAATAATTCAGTTCAAAGCTACCACCCCCGACTTCCACTAGATCCATTAGGCCACACTTACCGATAATTGCGATTAACATTCCAGTTCTATTCATATGAAATTTTATTTTTATATTCCAAGTCCAGAAGCCAATTTCATGGATCAAGAATGGAGAACTTGATAAGCTCCCGACTACCGAAGAATAGTAAAAATAAGTTCGCTTAAAATAGACTAGAGAGTGTAATGATGACCGCCGTACGTACACACACACACACACACACACAGTGAAGAAGGTGACTAACCCTTCACAGTTGAGAGAAGCCAAAGTGTTGACTCACACACCGGAGACATGCATACCGCAAATTTGGACGGGGAATTTAGTGGACCGATGGGGCAAATGGAAATTAAATTTAAAGCGCAGATTGCAGGCGATTGGTAGAAATAAAAACTGGCACAGTACTTGCGATTGAGTTCGATCAACAAGGACTAAGTGTTCAAATTACCAGGTACTTTAAGTCCTATAAACAGGGCCGTGGGGGGGGGGGGGGGGGGGGGGGAAA